AACACACAGTGACTGAACCCAATCTCTCTCACAACTCAGTTGAATAGGATTCCTTCAATGGCTGTGGTTACTGGCAATTGGGTCAAGGTTTTCTCCTTTTTCCTTTCCTTCATTTCTCTTATTATCATCTTCATTATTATTTATTATGCTTCTATTGATTTGTACAATTATTCTCTTTTTTCCACTCTTTTATTGAACCTTATCTCTTTCACAATCACTTTTTTAATTGTATAGACAATATGTATTTGATTAACATGAAATCATATTTGAAGAGGCCCTACTTTATGTTCTATTTCATTTAATTTTCTCTTGTTTGGTGTGTTCAATTGCAATCTTCTGAAAACAATGTTATTCAGAGCATAATAATGATTTGTTCAAGATCAATATATGATGTATAGGATTCCTGAAGAAATTGTTCTTCAATGATGAGGTTGATGAAATAAAATATTGGGGGTTTGGAATTTCTGTGCTCTGTTGACAGGCCCCTGAAGCTTCCTATAGATAGGATAAAGGTTTCACATCAGAAATTATTTTTAATCATCCACATAAGGAGGTTCATTATTTTTTATAATTACGCATGGCTTATAATATTTATTGATTTTTTTTATTTATATTATAGAAATTTTATAAAGTTTTATATTAGTTGTCATATGTCAAACACAACATTCACGTTTTTATTTGAACTTCATACTACAACATCAAAAACACATAGGCACGTTTCCCGCGACCTCATGTTATTAAGACGATGCTCTAACCCTCTAACCAACAAAGCTAGACCATATAAAATAAAGATTTGATTGTGGTTTAATGTATGTTTTTGTTTTGAAATTATTTAACTATAAACTATTTTTTATTTATTTCTGTAATTTTATGGTATGCTCATAGTGACATATATTAGGTTGACTTGAATTGATGATTGTCACTAGTGGTGAGAGTATACGAGGCAGCTCGACTATATTAGCCTACACTCATTTTTTTTAACTTTGTATCATTAAACAAATGAGATAATAGGTCATGGAAAAGCATATACCTATCCACTTGCACTTTAACAACTCATATAGAAGTTATTTTCAATCTAACATGAGAATAAGAATCATATAAGGTAGGATCTAGGAAGTAGACAATAGGATGAGATAAGATAAAGTAAGTTTTTTTTTTCAATATATGTTTTCCTCAGGTTGATCAGAAAGGAATTGGGCCAGGAAAAAGAAGTTCTCATGCTATTACCATAATAGGACAAAAGGTGTATGTATTTGGTGGTGAATTTGCGCCACGTGTCCCCGTTGACAACAAGATACATCTCTTTGACCTAGAAACTCAGTCATGGTCCGTGGTAGAGGCATCCGGGGATACGCCGCCGCCACGAGTCGGAGTAACAATGGCTGCAGTCGGAGATACCATTTATGTATTTGGTGGTAGGGATGGTGAGCACAAAGAGCTCAATGAGCTCTATTCCTTTGACACCAAAACCAACAAGTGGGCCTTGATTTCAAGTGGGGATGTTGGGCCTCCTAATAGAAGCTACCACTCCACAACTGCTAATGATCGATACGTCTTCATCTTTGGCGGTTGTGGAGTGGCAGGAAGGCTCAACGACTTATGGGCCTTTGATGTTGTTGACAACAAGTGGGTTGAATTTCCTTCCCCAGGTGAAAGTTGTAAGGGAAGAGGCGGGCCGGGCCTTATAGCGGTCCAAGGAAAAATATGGGTTGTCTATGGTTTCGCCGGAGAGGAGGTGGATGATGTCCACTCCTTTGATCTGGCCCACAAAAGTTGGGCTGAAGTTGAAACAAGTGGGCAGAAGCCCACAGCCCGTAGTGTGTTTTCGACTGTTAGTAATGGGAAACACATAATAATATATGGTGGGGAAATAGATCCTAGTGACCAGGGTCATATGGGTGCTGGAAAATTTTCTGGTGAGGTTTATGCATTGGATACAGAGACATTGGCATGGCAGAAGTTAGAAGAAGTGGTAGATTTGGGTGGTCATCCTGGGCCACGTGGATGGTGTGCATTCTCTGGTGCTGTTTGGAAGGGTGGCCAAAAGGGATTATTGGTTTATGGTGGCAACTCTCCTAGTAATGATAGGCTTGATGATATTTTCTTCTTTAGTATTGGTGATGAATAATTAGCTGGTTATTGTAATATAACTGCATAATGTGTGATGAATTTCTATATATGTAAACTTTGTATGTTTGGCACTTAATATTTTTGGTTTGTGAATCTATTTGTGTTGGGAAGCAATTTAACTATCCAAATGAGGATGTAAGTTGAAATATTAAGTTAGTTTCTGTCATTGTATTTTAATTAATATTTTTGTGTTGTGAATCTATTTGTGATGAGTTTACATTACTTTTAGGTAATGTTTTTCTTTACAAGGGTGCATCATATTTTCATTAATTTTTATTGTGAGGTATATATACAATGTACAAGGGTGTATAATGAATTTATGATTCGAGAGAAGAACCGCGGTTCAAGGAATACCAATGAGGAGAACGATATGATTGTATTTTATGGATTAATTTTACCATGGTAATAGAATGAGATGCCCTAAAAATAAAACAAAATGTTATTATTAGACATATTCAACTTCTTGTATATTTGATGAAATATAAGATTAAAAGATATAGTGAGGCTCAACATTAATGTAACAAACATGTGAACTTTTAAACCTCATCCCCTCAATCTAATCTTCTGTCCTAATATGATTGGTTTCAGACATAATTAAAGACAGGGTTGGGGAGAAGTGATCCTTATTCCATGACCACGATAATCCTATGCACAATATTTGGTTAGGTGATAAAGTGAAACTCATTTGTTGGTTTGGTATTCATGATTTGAACCAATTTCGTTTTAAGAAGAATATGACAATGAATTTGACTTGTAAGAGATAGTGTGTAGGTGTCGAGGATATTAAGCATATATTCAAGGATTGTAGAGATTTTTTAGTGTTTTGGTGAAGATTAAGTTTCGTCTCACTCTCATTCTAGGTGAGTCAAACATTTTAGATCAAGTTGTTGAAGAATTAAAGTGTTGTTGTGAATTAGATGAGTTTGGAGGTGGAGGAGTAGCTCCACTCTAAGAACTGATACTTGAGATATTAATTATGTAACATGTAGTGTTCATCAAAATTATTTTGAGTTGCATAATATGGGTCAAAGTGAGATTATCAAGGAAGAATCGTCTGGGATCAATGGTGTTTCAAAGAAACATAGCAAGTAAAGCTGGATGTTGAAGGTAGCAACATCATGGGTCAAAAATGGAGGAGTGGTTTTGTTCAATTATAGTAAGGTAGTTGATTATTGGGTTTCAAACTGGTTTGGAACTTGGGAAATAAGAATGTTATTTTTGAAAGTGATTGATTGTTTTGAAGTTGTGCAAATTATTTGAAGGACTCTATATTCCTTCCGAACATATATATTGACATAAACAAAATGAAGAGATTAATTAAATTAAAAATGGGGTTTAAAACTTTAAACTTCTTGTTCTATTTTGTCCATTGGTGTTAGAAGAGGTTAATCAAATTAGACATTAAGCCCACAAAAATATTGACACAGAGAAAATGTTGGAGGTGTGTATAAATTCAATTCTTATATTGTGGGCTTCATTGGTGTACGGAAGCATTGAGTTTCAAATAGCCTAATGCATCCTTTGAGCGCATGACCATGACAAATTGACAATGACGTGGCCGTGGTTGGATTTTCTAATTAGAATTTGTCATTTTAGTTTGTCACATATAATTAACTTCCCCACTTCATTAAACATTCTATCTGGATCTTCTTTGAGTTCTCTTTCTAATTTCATATTTATAAGTTGCTAATGATATTCATTATATTCTAAAATAATTACCAATACTTTATCTGGTAAAAGGATCTGCATGCAAGGACAGCATAATGTCAAAATTAATTTAGAATTACTGCAAGTTTAACTTCTAACTTTGTTATAAAATTGTAATTATAAATTAAGTAAACATGTTATTTTAAATATATTTTTCTTTCTCCCCGCAGAGCTATAACAAGGTGAACTATTTTTTATTTTTTTTATTTAAAAAAATAATGATTATTTACCTTTGGTCCCGTGCATCACAATGCTGAAGGGAATCTTTTTTTGGCAGACATAGACTTCAGTTAAAATAGGCTTTGAAAATGAAAAATAATTAATCAAGACCACCAAGCCAATTCAATCATATACTTACATGATTTATCTATTCAAGTTAAGTTCTGACAAATATTTATGAAAGTGTTCCTGTAAAAGGGTGCAATCATAAGATCCAGCTAATCCTCTTGCCCCACTTAGTCCAACAATGGTGACATTGATGGAGTCTTTGTTTGAGATTGCATGTAGTGTAGCAATTACAAGAGCAACTTGAACTGTACCTGAATGTTTGTCCCACAATGATTTAAATCGACTAAATGTATGATTGCGAGTTGAGTTTTGGAGAGAAATTATTTCAGAATCACTTGATAGCTTTATAAAGTGATTGATATAGTTATACATCTATCTCTTTCAAATGTTTTGGACTTACAAATAGAGCCCTGGTCCCACACTTGGTCATTACTTATTCCCATACTTTCCACATTAATGGCTATGAGCCTATGACCCTTATACTCTCTGTCAGTGCAAAAAGAAAAGCAGCAAAATGGACCAACCTCAAGCCACAAAAGAATCTCAAAACTGGGGTTACTGATTCATTGGGGGGACTTTTGACCATGTTCCATCACAACTCTTCATTTCTAGTTTCTCTATATATAATAATAAATAAGTTATTATTAATTTTTTCCCCTTAGACAAAAGCAAAACATGCAGCAGAATGGCTTTGATTTGTAGTCATATGGGTGAAGCAGAAGGATTACCTTCTCAGGCCAGGTGAGCTGTTTTGTAAGTGCTATTATCTTTATTGAAAGATGATAAAGAGATAGACCCATTTGGAATATGACAGAATTGTTTTCCATCTTGAGTTTCTCTTTGCCACTTTGCAGGTTCTGCTATATATGAGGCCCCTACTCTCTCCATATCCAATGCAACCCTAAACCTTTTTATAGTTTATGTCAAAATCAAATACACCATGTCATAAATGTAACAATGTTACAAATACTATCTAATAAATGTAAGCCAACAACCACATCAGTTCACTAAACCATAATGATATATAGGTCATATCAACCTGGACCATATTAAATCCAAAACCTAAATTTTAATCATAACAAATTTTACATTGCAACATTGACAATCACCATAGTCCAAAGTCCAAACTACATTAATCTAAAATCATGGTTAAAGTAGTGTTTTATCTTCACACTTCATTGTTAACATTTAGTTCACCCAAGATCATTTGCATACCATTTTTGCACTAACCGCTTAAAACAATAGCTAACGAAGTATCAATTAGTTAAGAACATAATCTTGAATTCTTGATCACCTCTCTCTAAGGATCTACGTATTAATCACATATAGTAATAATGGCTATAAAAGTGGCTATTTTGTATCCATTAAGAAACTTCACTCTAGCCAGGTTTGATGCAGTGGAGAGATGTCACTTTCTAGGACATGACCTAAACATATTTTCTTGATTATTATTGGATTCCTTTAACTTATATCAATGTCTTTAGGCCTGCAACATCAATAAATTTTTGAATTCAAAAACATCAATCTGTAGCATAAGCTGGAATATGCATTATCATCACACAAAAACGCTCTAGGAATTTGGTAAAATTGTTGAACAAATAAATTTGTTTGAATTGAATACAATAAATAAGCACATAAAGTATATAGAAAGAGTGAAATGAAACCACGACAATTAATTTCAAAGGACATTATGGTTTTGATTAATATCTACTACATATTTACCATCCATTACTATAAGTAGAAAGGTACAGTGAAAAAATAACGGTATGATTACAGCACTAGTTTTCAGAACAGAAGCTTCTGCACCTCTCAGTTACGTAGAAACAGTAACATAATTTGAAGCACCGAGTTCTTGAAAGCAAAAAAATACATTATGAGAGTGGTAATAATAATATGGGGATAGAGAATATATTATTATCTTCAAAAGGGACACAGCAAAAAGAAGCAAACTAGGGAATATAAGGAGAGGCACATAGGATTCCTAAACCTTTTTCTTTAGCAAGAGCGTGCTAAGTTAGAAAAGATAGGAAGAGAAAGTGAGTGAAGTGAAATGAAAAATCCAAAGACCCTTTGAAAAGGTGGCTCTTATATCAAAAGCATGGTTCCCACAAGGATGTTGGAATCCCAAGTATACGAACCCCAACATCAACATAAAGCTAAAAATAGATAAAATATAGATAATAATAATGCCATGAGCTTCAATTTCTGTTCCACACGTGGGACCTTTGTTCCCAGTTTCTTTTTCATATGGGATCATTCAAACAATATTTTTTTTCTTTTTCTTTTTTTCTTTTGCTCATTGCATTAAAATTTAAGGTGTTTGCTAATTTACGAACTACTAGACATAACAGTACAGAACATAACAACCAGAAGTTGTTTCTTGTCATACCGACTTCTAAACATAACAACCAGAAGTTGTTTCCTATCATATCGACTTTTAAACATAACAGTACAAAACATAACATTTACCCGATCAAGATTTTAATGGTTGAGATTGAAGGCAATAGGATCTAACGACTCACAAATTAGTTCGCTTGGAAGCGAACTAATCGCCCCCAAAATTTAAATATAGATTATGAGGATTTCAGTAGGGACATTCTTTCATGTTGTGCCAAATTCATTTTGGATTATGCATCATCTATTAAATAAGGAAGATAAAATAGATTTGATAAGTTTTATATGAGTGAGATTGAATATTGTCCCACATTCAATATAAAATTTGAAAGGAATTCACTTACTTCACATCTTATCTATTAATTCTAATGAAATCTAATGGTTTGAATTAGTGAGTATATATAAACCATTAGATTTCCTAAAATTAGTGAGTATATATAAACCATTAGATTTCCTAAATTACTTACACGAGTCAAATTGACATTCACTCTATAAAAATATGAAATAAAAGTGAATATCATGTATCTTCTTTGAAGATTGAACATCATATAGCACATTTTACATTATTTAGATAGAAAAATATATTTGTTATCAATATTGGACCAAGTGAGTGGTTCTGCTTATCAAATCCAGTTAGTTAGATTATGTTAAATTAAGCTTTTAGAAGAGTTGTTTCTTAACATAATGAAGAGGTTAATTCTTGTTGCCCTTATTAGCACAGTGTGCTTAACCTAATGGCTTAAATTTTAAGAAGAGTTGGTTCTGTTTTGGCTAAGCTTTTATGAGATACTTTTGAGTTTTGAACTATGAAGTTGGCCTAAATGTGTTGCAAATTAACCATGTGAACTGAAAAGTGAAAAGCAACCATAAGGTACTTTATACTACTTTAGGGAGGACGAATAAGGAACAATTAAATCAAGGAACATGAGTTAGACTCATCTCCATTATTAGAGAGGACCGTTATGAGAAAAATATTGAAAAAATAAAGTATATTGACAATTGTATCATTTAATTTACACAAAAGTTACATTTTTAACCTTAAAAATATACTAAAAAATAGGAATGCACTATCTAGTAATGGAGATTGAGTATTAATGAAGGAGCATATATAAAAAGTGTATATGGTTAAACTCTTTTTTTTTTGTGTGGAGGAAGTCATAAAATCAAAATTTTCTGTAGGGTAAAACACACCCTCTTTTTCAGTCTTCTTTTTGGACCTTCTTGTCCTCTTTTTTGGCAAGTCCAAATTGATTTAGCCAAAAGGGCATGATGAAGGAGCGTTAAACACATTGTTATAGTGTCTTTTAGAAAGAAAAGTTAAGGCTTATGATATATTAATTAGCAACTTACCAATTGAATGTAAAAAAATAAAGCACAAAAAAGACAAATTAATAAGTAGTACTTAGCCAAAAATTAAACAGAGTTCACTATCCTCATCCTAATTGAGACATTGCTTTTCTTACGTAAGAATAATTCACAAAGGATCAGACATGCTTAAGAAACAACATAGGATCAGAAAACATGCACAGGAAATTAAGTACCTGAGTCTATATATTAATATTATGCTCTTCATGTCATGTATAATAGGACCATGTATCATGTGAATTAAAGCTGCTTTGAAACTCTCTTTATATTTAAAATTTTTGACATCTCATTCTCTTTGCTAGATTTATTTTTGTTTTTCTCCCTTTTTCTCATGCTTTATGGTTTTGTTGTATTGTCATCTATAAGGGAAATGAAAAAGGGAATGATTACTTGGCCATTTGTGGGAAGAATAAATAGAGATCTAATTATCAAAATATAATACTTTTCTTATTGTGAAACGGCTAAAGAAGAATAAGGGACCTGTATTTGGACATAGTGAAAGAAAACAAACAAAGCCAAAGGAAAAGCAAACTTTAATATCCCATATAAACTATGTTGCAATTTTTTGTATGTTATCACAAGTTCAAAGATGGAGTACACTATTTTCTGCAGTTGCACTATTACAGATTGATGACCACACACAATGGCCATTTATTATAAGTAATAAAAGCAACACATAGTGAAAACTAAAGGTACAATTTTGATTAACCAAATCTATTCCAAAAAAAAGTGACCCCTCTTGCTATGACCTATGTGGTCATGAGTAAGTGTAAAGTTTGTGAACCAATGAATAAAACCAAAGAAGCACAGAGTAAGTTCTGGTAAAGTAAACTAGTGCCTAATGTCTAGGTAATTAGCCATTAGATCAAGTAAGGCAAGTTATCATCATAAGCATATTGAATATTTAGTAGCTAATAATGATTCCCTATTTCTTCCTTTTTGTTAAGAATACAGTTTGGAGAGCTTATTGAAGCAAAGTCCCCACAATTTTCACTTTCTGTCTTATTCTTTTATTTTATCTGCCTTACCTAATTTTGGGCAAAAGAGAGGTCTCACTAATCAATTAAATTTTATAAAATAATACAAAAATATTAATTTTTATTTTATTATTTTTATTTTTAATTAAATATGATTTTCTAATTGGACAGAGGAGAATAATATGAATATGTGATCCAGCAGGGTACACTTGGCACACTGCAATTGATTAGGTGGTCACTATAAGACCCACCATGTCCAATCAAATATCGATCTCTTTTATCAATCTCTTTTGGAAATTGGGCCTCTCCACCATGCTCCTATAATAGTTTTTGCCATCATAATTGTTCATTTAGTTTTGTATTATATAAGATAAGCTCTCACTTAGTCTCATGATGGTAGATATATGTATTTTTAGTATATATATTTCATATTAAGTAGATACATTATCTCATCTAACTATTAAAATTATGACATATATACTTTTTTTTAGTTTTATGAAATATTTTTTGTAAAAAATAATTAAATATGACATATGTTATAATTTTAGTAACTGTAGTAGATAACTTATTTTCTAATATGATGAGATAATCTCTTATGAGATTTAAACTCACGACTTTTATGTTACAATAGAAACAATCTTACTATTGTATCAGTATCAAATATCACTATGTATTGACAATTTTTTTTACTACTTGGCTTTGAATAAATACACTTGTATTTAAATTCTATTATTGTTGGATTCACCACCATAGAGTGATTTATAGTCAACCCCTTTATAGTTAAACCTTGGTATAGAAACTTCATCCAATATTAAATATACATGAGGTTTATATGCCTTATATGAATGCATCCATACTTAATGTACACCAACAAGTATTGGATAGTTAGTTGGTTGGTGGCTAGGTTTCTTAAATATAATATCACGTGTTAGTAAAAAACATTATTGATAAGTGACCTCTGCGACGAAAAAGAGAGTAGTGTTTCTTGCTCAGGAACTATAGCATATTTACACATGTTAGTTTTAGAATAAAGTACTTAATGATAAGATCAGAGATAATATATAGTGGAGACGCAAGTAATCCTAATGATAATAACTATTTATATATAAGTAACAATTTAACTTACCAACCATGTTTCGACAAGCATGTTAAACATTCAAGAAAAGTTATAAATGTTACGGAAAAGCACTATACATTAATTGAAGAAAGAATTTAAAACATCAAAACATCATTGAAGGGTCCTTAATAATCCTTCAATTAGAGAGAAAAAGCCTGTGTGACATTATATCAATTTCCCCACTTGATTTATCATTATCTCTGATTTCATATATATATATATATATATATATATAAATTTCATTGTGGAGGGGTATGAAATGTCTTATTATTATAAATAGGTAAGTGGAAAATCCCTCTAAAGTCTACCAAACTGGCCATAGTATTGAAATGTTGTAATCAGTCTATTTTGCAAGGGACCCTTTAATACCTTAGGATATGGAATTTAGCCAAACTTTCCTGTACAAGCCATGGCCATGAGCATTATGATTGTCACAAAACAATATCAGGTGGGAGCTCAGAGATTCAGAAATTCCCATCCAACTCCAAAGTGCTCATTACAAGTCTACAACACTGACCCAAAGTCCTCACTTCATCACCCTTTCTCTCTGGCTTATGCATATCTAATGAACAATAATATAACTTTAGATGGTACAAAAACTAGAATTAATTGCTAGGACCATATGCAAGACCAAGTTGAACCATTTTGGCCCTTTGATTTAACGTTTTCAAATTATTTTATTCTACATATGACACTTTATACTTCTTTATATATGTATGATTAATTTAAATCAAATCAATTTTTTTACGAACAAATGAAATGTAATCAAATCAAATTCAAATACAAAGCAATTGGTCCAATTAATCTAGCCGCCTGCGATTAGTCAAACATTAAGATCAATAAACGCGTTTTGATATAAACTTTGTTATCTCTATATAGTATGTATAACCCACTAACACAAGAGAGAAAAGAGGAGGGTAGGCTATGGTTTTATAGGGTCAAGCCAGGACATAGAGAGAGGACCAAGGACTAAGTGCCCATTCTTCAATTAATAGCCTAAAAGTGACAAATTCATGGGGAGGGAAACATGAGATATAGGTCCATACTTCATCTGAATGACACTTATT